ATTCCAGAATCTATTTATAGCAGGTCAATAACACTTTTTCTACCAACTTTTTTGAACACCTGTTCCAGAATCTATTTATAGCAGGTCAATAACACTTGTTCTACCAACTTTTTTGAACACCTGCAAACCACTCAGGTTTATAACTACCTTTATAGGTGGTCACATGATGTTGTTTCAGCCAATCAGAGTCAGCTCAAAATCAATAAAAATAATAATAAAGAATATTACCATTAAATGTAAACATTTTTCTTTCTGCTATTCTATTCCCTGTTATTCTAGATTAAGACATTTTTTTTTTAAATCATTCTGAATAAAATTCATGTTTTATCTGACATTTATCCATCGCTGATTCCTCGCTATATAAGAGTTTGTGATATATTGACAGCTAAAATAACTATAAATTTGCTATAATATGTGCGCATTGTGACCTACAGGGTGAACCACCAAACATTACAGCGAGTGTTTAATGTCTTGGTAAAGTGTTATGGAGTGAGCAGTTAGGTGACAGGAGGGATGGGTCACAACATTCTGGAAAGTAGTGCTGTGTTACGCAATTTATTTTATGTACAAAATTCTTCAATTTTTATTAAGTTTTTTGAAAATAATTAGATTTTTTCTGTTAATTCTATAAGGAAGGTGAGCTTAACGACCAATAAGTACATGTAAGGACAGGTTCACAGTTACCTATAACAGTACGTACAAATGTAGTTAGTCTCCACCCAAAAACAACGTTACAGGGGATTGTCTTGTTTAATATTTACCTTTAATACACCAGTAATATACGGCCATATTCTGTACAAACACATGAAACTAATCCATGTAATTAACTACAGTACATGACATCTCCTCATTAACAAATATGTATTTCATCGGTCGTTTTGATTCGTTTTAATGGAGCAACAATCAGAATGAAATCAATTCAAATAATATTTTGAAAATCTGCAAGAAGCAGTTCCCCATAAGAAACTGGAAAACAAGACAATATTAGCTGGAGATAATCATAAACCACTGGCCATGCATGCATCTCACGTCTGTCAAGTTTTGGTCCTTGAATTTCGGTTACTTGAAGTAAAATGAATTAAGCCAGCAGAATGATGACCAAATATTTTCTATTTATAGTAACAGTGACCTTGATCTTAGATTAACAACTCTTGAAAACAAATTCCTTCGAGCTGTTTATGTAGAGGAATACTTGTATAAAGTTTATTCAAATCAGAAAAAAATAATCCAGTTAAACGAAGACAAAAGATGTTCTATTTTTGCAAGTGACCTTGACCTTTGAACCATGACCATGAAATGCCAACTTAAATGTAGAGTATATATTTGTGTACTGACAGACAACCTTTCATGTCTGCTAAAACAAAGAAGTCTGCTGACAGTGATACATATCCGCTGCTGGAATCGAGGGACGTAACTGTATATCAACCTTATTTGTCCTGCATTAGCTGGCTTAAATATAGGCTTGGTAATTACCGTTGATCCAGCACTATATATCAGACCGCGTATATGTACCTACCATTATAGACCACGAATTCGGTGAACGAGACTTCCAATGCATAACAGTGGAACTAATTACACACTGACCTTTGTCCAGATATCTAGACAATTTACCTACAGCATTGATATTGATATCACTTAAGATATTGTTACACCTCAAGTGAATTTCTAGTTATTTGATTGGTTGGGAGAAAATTAAACAAAAATCCCTGTCACCCTCCGAAAATACATTGGCTTTAAGGGGCGCGGGTGATATTGCCATGAGACAGTTAAAAAAATAGCACATGCGCGAAAAATGTGCGTTCACCGCTTCGTTTCCCCACCGTGATGGTCACAAGAACGTTTGACGGCAACAGCCAATTTTATCAAGCGCCGGTGCGATAGCGATTGTGAACAGCAGACTATCAACAAACAAGATGTCATTATCGAAGTTTGCTGCCATTTCTGAGCTACAAAGACTTTTGGTGTAACAAAATAAATATGACATTCATTAGCAGGTGACAGTGAATATTGTCAACCCTCAAAAACCCATTTTCACTATCGGCTTCGCCTCGGGTGACAATGGTTTTCTCGGGTTGACAATATTCACTGTCACCTGCTAATGAATGTCATATTTATATATTGTCAACTGAACAGCTCATTTGCTATAATGAAAATATTAATGGTTCATTATTCTGTCTGAACAGATCATGACACCAAATTAGGGCTTTAAATGGATTTCTTTTCAACACTCTCAATCTGTTGTTTTAGAAATTGAATCTACCATATAATGTGCTGCAGCCTAAAGAATGACAGTAGTAGTGTGTACAGTGCACATTAGCACTACCTTAGTGTATTGTGGGTACAGACCAAAGAGTGCTGTCAAGTAATAAAGCACAGTCGACATAGCTACAAATTCTGCATGCTCAGCAAAATCATCTTATTTGTCACAAACTTTAATCAGGCATATCTATATACAGCAACACTATACAATGTATACCAGTAAATCATTTCAAACCATGCTGTACCTTTAAGCTTATACAGAACAAAGCTGGCTTCTGTGATTATACATTGCAGCTAGCCTGTTCTAGAGCTTGTTTGACATTACTGGAAAATTCTAGTACTGATGTGCCAGACCAAAAAGTGCATCATGTGTGTGTATACAACATTAATCCATAATATGCCAATCAAGGATTAAAAATCTTTGAATAAAGAACTTGCCAGATTTTATCCACGAAACAACTTACTGCCGTCCAGTTGACTAGCTTTATCCTGAACATATGGCTAGCTGCAGTGCTAAAATACTAGCATGTTGACAAAACTAAGGCAAAACAGAACTGGGAACAACATGAGACATTTAGCACCAATTGATGTACATTACCCTACAGGTATACACATACAACACATGACATTCTCCGACATAACACATAACAGTATGTAATATATACTGCAGGGAGATCTAGACGAGCACCGTAGGTCCTTCACCTGTTTCGTACAACCTGCCACTGCCGCCATTCAACCTCTCCCCGTCTTACGACGTAAAAAACGCTGAACATAAGTACATGTACACGGTGCTATCAAAGCCATGTTATATTTGGTACACATGCTACATGTATTTAATCTCCGACTAAATGTCACTGTAAAGGTTAAGTATTATTGTCTTAAAGCAAAAGCAAC